CATACATTGTGCTCAGAGAGATTTGAAAAGATATTTCATCAGTTAAACATTAACAGGATATTATAAAAATGAAAAGCTTTCTTGAAAAAGAAGACTGAAGTTAAATATATGCATATTTAATTTATATTTAATTAATATATTTTATATTACATATAAAATATAAATATAAAAATAAGATATACTTGACTCTTGAACAGTGCAAGGGTTGGGGTGCTGACCTCCACACAGTTGAAAATCCAAGTATAAATTTTGACTCCCCCCAAATTTAACTACAATTAGCCTATTACTGACTGGAAGCCTTATGGATAACATAAGTAGTCAATTAACACATATTCTGTATGTTATATGTATTATATGCACATATATATATGCCTGCTGGCATAGCTGCAGTGACAGCTTCATGAATTTCCTTTTTTTTTTACATGGTCCTTACACTAGATTCATTTATCTTGAAATAGCAGGCAACCACAGCTACAGACCGCAATAAGCAATTCAACTTTTCTTGTAATGTCATCACTATGCTCTGCTTCTTGGGAGCACTTCCAGCACCACTGGCAGCACTTCGTATGGGTCCCCTGGTGTTATTCAGTGTTTATGGTATTGCACTAAATATGATGAAAAATATGTGAGAACTGTGAAAGATCACTTCTTACAGCTCACGTGGCGGTGATTAGCATCACACAGCGTTTTAAGTAGGTACTCATGACACTTGAGCTCACCACAGTACCAACGCGAGGTGGCAGTGGAATTATTACAGTAGCACAGTATGTACTACAGTTCATTTTATGCAGGTATGATTTAATACTACATCTTTATGTCTGTTCACATTTCTCTCGACTGAACGATGCCATATACGGTCTGTGTTTGTGTGTGTAAGCTTTGAGAAATTTGAACTGTTTATATAACAGATATGTGTAGGTTTTATGGAAGTAAATGATAAAATATATTTTGTGCATTCATGACTGTATTAGTCCGTTTGTGTTGCTTATAACAAAATGCGTGGAACTGGGTAATTTATAAAGAAAATGAAATTTATTGCTTACAGTTTCTGAGGTGGGGAAGTCCAAAGTCCATCTGGTGGTGGCAACAGTGAGTTGGGGTCTCACATTGCAAGACAGTGGAAGCAGAGAGAGCGAGAGAGTGAAAGACAGACTCTCCTCCTTTAAAGCCCTCAGAACCATGCCCATGACCACCACTTTTTAATCCATTCACTACTGTATGTCCTACAATCTAATCAACTCTTCAAGGCTTCACCTTTCAATTACCATAATAGGATTTCCCACCCTCTTAACAGTCACA